TCAGCCGGCGAGGCGAGAGGCTGCGTGTTGTTTGCTCTTTAGATCGGAGCTGCGGACGTTCCGGGAGAGAGTTTAGGAATCAGCCAAGGAACCAGAAAAGATTAAGGAGACCCTCTAGTCTCGACCGGAATCCGGTTAAAGCATCTTTGATTGCTGTATTGAATTATTGGTACTAGAGGACCAAACTTTAACAACTTACACAACAGGAAGGGGAATCCGGACTTTGGCCAGGGCAGACCTCAAGTTTCCTGATTGCTTATTTGTACCCTATGACTATCATTAAGTATTGTACCTTATGATTCTTGAACGTATCTTTTCTTTTATGTACACTGAGAGCGTATGCACAAAAGACAAATTCCTTGTGTGTCCAATCACACTTGGCCAATAAAAAAATTCTAGGGTCTATGGGTTTTCATCCCTTCCATCCCTTCCTTGAAGAGGAAAAGGCTGAACCCGCCGCTACGCGGATCTAAGTAATGGGAAAGGGACATATAGAGTGGCCGCGCTGGCGGAAGGCAAACCGGCGCGGGGCAGGCCTAGGGAAGGGAGCCCCTTTCAACCCCCCACCCCCGGAAAAAAGCTCCACGGGGAGGTTTCAGGGCCTTGCGGGAGGGGGACTCAGCGCCGGTGACCGGGCGCGCCAGCCCTCGCTCGACGTTCCTCTTTGCTTCGCTTTCCCCCCACTTCGTTTACAGCAAATATTTGTTTGCACCCTTCGTTGGGCCTGAAGTTAATGACTCAACGTGTTAGCGTGGAGTAATCGGGAGAAGAAGAAGGGAGGAAAAAAAAAAAAGAAAGAAAGTCCCCGCGCCGTGTTTATTGTGTGGGTGAGCTGTTGGGGGAGCGGCGCTCGACGAAGCTGCAATTAGGGTTAGATCGAGATTAATTAACGTGCGAGCGGCGAGGTGTAAAAGGGGTCTCAACCCTCCACTCGGGATAAGCGGCGGCGAAGGCGGGGGAAGAAAGAGAAGATCTGCGGCGGCTAATTAAACGCTTCGCCCCAGCCGCCTCCTTTGCCGAAGCCCCAAAGCCGCCGCCACCACCGCAACCCGTCCGCTCGCCCCGCAGGCCCCCGAAGGAGCCGCAGGCGCTTGCAGAAGGGCCGAACCGGACAGCGGGAGAAGAAGACGGAGAAAAGAGGTTCCTGGAAGGCGCCGGCCCCGTTGAGGTCCGCCCTAGCGAGCCTGGATCACTCTAGTCTGGATCTCTCCGACCAGGCAGCTGCAGGGGTCGGAAGGTCTGACTTTTTCGGGTCCCAGACCCGAGGGAGGTCGGCCTATTCGTCCTGCTTCCTTGACACCCGTCCCCGATTTGGGTTTCGAGCCTTCCTTGCCTGCAGGCCCGAGAACGAGAGAGGGGGGGGAGAGAGGGAGAGAGAGGGAGAGAGAGAGAAAGAGAAAGAGAAAGAGAAAGAGAAAGAGAGAGGGGGAGAGAGAGAGAGAGAGAGAGAAAGAGAAAGAGAAAGAGAAAGAGAGAGGGGTAGAGAGAGAGGGGGGGAGAAAGAGACTTCCCCACTGAACAAGCTTTTTCCAAAGGGCAACCGGGGCATCGCTGCGATTGGCGCCCCCGTGCCCGGAATTCTCTCTCCCCTCCACCCACTCCAGCTCTTCATCGCAGCCCCCAATTCTGCTCTCTCCGGGAATTAAGATTCAATTGGGGCCGTTGTTCGCACCTTTTCGCGGCCGCACCGGGAGCACACGCTGCCCTCCCCCTTCAATAGGTATTCCTTGGGCGCGTTCAATGGGAAGGGCCCTTCCCACCCTTCCCTTTGGTTGCTCGGGGCCCGGAGCCTAACCGGTTCCAAAGCTTAACTCTCCCGGCAGCTCTCGAGGGAAGCATCCCGGGGAGAAAAAAAGAAAAAAAGCTGGCCGATCTCTTCCACCCTATATGGACCGTCTTTTTTTTCTTTTTTTCTTTACCGATCACAACTAAAAAAAAAAAAAAAAAAGCCCTGCCCGGAATTTGAGCTCACAGGCTGATCTCGGAAGAATCCTTCGCCTCCTGAACCTCTTTTCAGGCCCTGAACTGAATTAAACCCCCGAGGCTTCAGATGCTCAGATCCCACGAGCAGGAAATACTTTGCAAGAATTGTAGCGCACTCCTTAATGCGGGAGGGTGGGGGGGAGGGTGGGATCTAGCATAGATCGTCTCCCCTGCACGCTGGATCCCAGGATCCTTCCATAAGGAAATGGACTGCAGTAGCACGCCGCCAATTCGTTTTGAGCGATTGGCTGGGGATTTTGGGAATTGTGGTCTGCACGAACTAGTTAAAGGCCATCTCAACTCTCAGCACCGCTCCGAGAATCGTTCTCTCTAGAAATTGGGGGGGGGGGGTTGTTCAGAAAACAACGGAGATCCACGGCAAAGTAACCGAAGGCCTTGTGGGAAGATTCGGATCTTTCTTTGCCCACCCCAGATCTTCTGGTCAAGAGGGCGACTTCTGAGATGTGACTTCTTAAAAAGTCGCATCTTTAAGGTTCAGGCGTCCTGAGATCTTTCACTTAAGGAACTGGGGGACCCACCAACCGCACTTGTTAAGAGGTCAGGCCCACATCTTCAGAGAACCTCCGGAGGCTTAATATTCTTCCGTTCCCAACTCCGAGCCATTCATCCGGAAGGTTCCCTCGCGTGGGTTAAGCCGAATTTCTCGCACACCAACTACGAGCCTAACCCGAGACTCAAAGACGGTGCGAGGCCAGCGCTAACTAACCCGAGACGGTGGCACAAGTCGCTCAGCTTGCTTTTAAGGGCAAGCGCGACCGCCTCTTTCGAGCCTCAACCATAAGGGCTAGAAACGTGGCTTTTAAAAAAAGAGCAATCAAACGCTCACTTGCACTAGCAGCGTAAATTGGGGGGGGGAGCGACGCTGGGGAGGGGGGGTGGAGGAGAAGGCTGATGTTGTATATCCCGTCGGAGCCTAAGAGAACCAGACAGCTGTTCCTCCCCTCCAACACTTGGTGAGGGGTAGCCGAAGAGAGCGAAGCCGCTGAAGTGATGATTCCTTCTGGAACTCTTAAAAAGTCCCTCCGCTTTTTTCCAACTTCAAGCAGATCCTATCCGCTCGAAGGATCCTATCCGCCGCGCCCTTTTGAAAGGTGTCTTAAGATTCAGGAGCCTGGATAGCTCTGCAGACTAAAAGCACTGTAATTTAACACCAGCTGTCTGCAATTCAAGTAAGTTCGAATCTCGCCAAGGCTCAAGGTTGACTCAGCCTTCCATCCTTTCTAAGGGAGGTAAATTGAGGACCCAGTTTGTGGGGCCAATAAGCTGACTTTGTATAAAATATACAAAAGGATGAAGGCTATTGCTTAACGCATTGTAAGCCGCCCTGAGTCTCCGGAGAAGGGCGGCATATAAATAAATAAATAAATAAATAAATAAAAAGATCCGGGAACAAAACGGGAGGGGGAAAGAGCCTTTGCTCTTCTCTCCCCCCCCCCAGATGTTGGTGTTGTGGCCAGTGCCTCCTCTCCAGGAGGCCTCGTGGTGTTGTTCCCCAGGGTGAAAGCGAGAGAGACGGGAAAACAGCTGCTCGATCCGGATGGCCGGCCTTTGGCCAACTTTTGTTAAAGCTACAAAAAAGCGCGAGTCCTCCCAAGTAGCCTTCCCCCCCCTTTTTTTTTAAAAGGAAAAATTACAAGGAGGGTAGGCGGTATTCAGGCCTTACTTTGCCTACTGCGAAAGCCTCTCTCTCCCCCCCCCCCGTCCTTCCTTTCTCTCTCCCTCCCTCTCCCAATAATCCGTCTCTAGTATTGTTGAAAGAGAAAACCAGGTGCCACGCCGCGCTTTAGAGAGTCTCGCCTATTGAAGGAGTTTTGAAGCAGCAGAAGCTCCCAATCGCGGGGAGGGGGCTGAATTCCCGAAAAACGAGGCAGTCTCTCCATTTCTCCCTCCCCGCCCCACCCGCTAGGTGGAACGTGGACCATTTCTTCACACCTCCCCTTCCCCACATACACAAACCTATTCCAAGTTTCTAGTTCTCTCTGTTTCCTCCTTTCTCTGATTTTTTTTTTCTCCACATCCTTTGATAATGGCAAATTTCCCTGTTTCAGGTTAAGAAAGGAAAAGAAGAATATTTTTTTTTAAAACGAACACTTCAGGCGCGTTATGATTTTTTTTTTTAAAAAAAGGGAAATAAATATCAAAACGACGCACACAAAGAAACTCAAGAAAGAAAGGGGGGAGAAGGAGCGAAGGGGCCAGTGACACTTTAGTCCTGCGTTTTGTGGAAATGGGGACTTCTCTGCCCCAGTGAAAACCCCCACATCGCTCGAGAAAGTTGTCGGGCGTGTGTTTGTGTTTGTTTACTGTTTGCTTGTTTGTTCGCTAGCCTGACTGGATCCGTTCGTCTTTTGGCAAAAGCAGGTGGTCGGGTCTATAGAAAGGCAAGACTTTGGGTGCCAGCCTTCAACGGCGTTTAATTCGTATTTACGCCTCCAGGACCTAATTAAAGGAGCTGCTCTCGGCCGAAGCGCTCTCCAAAAGCGAGGAGGCGGGCCGGCCGGTCCTTAAATTGAGACTGGGTTTTCCCGCCGACTTTTTTTTTTTTACTTCCCCCCCCCTCCCCTTGTTGCAAAAGATCTGATGGAAAAGCGCGCTGTCCCAACTGAAACGAGGAGCGAGAACTCAACTCCCGAACCCCTCGTTCCTCTCTCCTCTCCTCTCCTTTTTCTCACTTTTGGTTCAAATAAATACAGCTCCGCTCGCCTCTCCTGGGAGGCTTTTATTTTATTTTATTTATTTATTTATTTATTTTTATTTTTATTTTTCGCTGCGCGATTTGCTTGGCGCCCAACTTGCGAATAGCACTTTCCGTCTTTAATTTGCCACATGCAAAACGACTCTTCGGCGTTTGCAAGTCGCTCTCCCCCCCCCCCCCATCCCCATCCCCAACCCACACACCTCCCCTTCCCCCCCCCCACCCCTTCTTCCCTTTGGAAAGACTCTCGCAGAAGAAATCCAGGGTGTGCCTTAAATTGGAAAGGAGGGAGGGTGGGGGAGTTCCTTTATTCTGCTCACCCCTCCCATCCGTCCAGACCTGGGCTGAACGTTTGGCTGAGAAAAGAAACCCTCGCCCCGCTTTCTGCCTCCCTCTCGCTTCCCGCCTGCCTGCACGGTGGCCAAAATCCCGTCTCACTCGGCTTGAAGTGACTTCATGTGATGTCAGCTTGAAATGCCAGAGACGTTCGGGAAGATGCTTGCTATCCAGGTCTGACCGGGCGGCTACACTGCGGGGCTCGGATGCGTCGGGCAAAGGTAACTCACCCCCAGGCCGAGCTCATATATACCCACACGCGCCCCTTCTCCACCTCCTCTTCCCCTCCACCCCTTCTCGGGGGTCACGCCACCACTCTTAAGCGAAAGAGGTCGCGGGGGTGGTGGGCAGCCTTGCCTCCCTATCTATTGCAACAACCCCCCCCCTCTCCCAGCCAATATCCCAGGCCGGGCCGTCTCGGCTTCCCCGCACCTAAAGGCTTGCGGGAGTTTGCCGGCGACTTTTTTTTCCCCCTGGCGCGCGTTCTGCTGAATGAATGAGCAGCGGTCTGGTCCTCCCTGCGCGCAGCCGGGTTCATTTGAATGTAAATGGGAGGAGGGGATGCGGAGGGGGGGGGGAGAGAGAGAGAGAGAGAGAAACGAGCGAGGGAGAGAAAGAAAGGAAGAAAGAAAAGAGGCGCTTATTAAAATGGATGTTGTCTTCAAGACTGAGCTGAGGTTCGAGTCGAATTGAGCTTGACTTCTCGGCTTTCTTCTTTTTCTTCTTCTTCTTCTTCCTTCTTTTGCTCTGTCCTTTTTTATGGGCGACCTCCGGCTGCGGATCCCCACCTTTGCCGTCCTTCCCCTTCCTTCCCGCTCTCCACGTAGAGATGGCCTCGTCGGCTTCGCTGGAGACGGTCATGCCTTCCGCCTGCATCCGGACCGGAGCCTCCAACCCGGCCAAGAGCCTGGCCTTCTCCATCGAGCGGATCATGGCCAAGGGCTCGGAGCCCCATCACAAACCCGCCGCCGCCGCCGCCGCCGCCTTCGAGGCCAGGCCGAGCGAATCTCCCGCCAAGAAGCTGCTAAGCCTCTGTTCGCCTCTGCCCGGCGTCATCCCGGTCCAGCCGCTGCCGGCCTACGAGATGCCCTCCAAGGCGCTGCTCAACTACTCGGAGCTCTGGAAAGGCAGTTTGCGGCACTGCGGGGCCGCGGCGCTGGGAGGCTCGACGGGCGCCTTCTGCAAGAGCAACTGCGGCGCTTGCTGCAAAGGGGAGCTCCCGCCTCCGCCGCCCCTGGGTCAGGCCGCCTTGCCGGGGGCCGGCCGGGTGATCAAACCCCAAGTCATCCACCAGACTCTGGCCCTGCCGGCCAACGGATCTAGCCTCTACTACTTCAACTGCCTGGACTCTTCCGCCTACCACCCGTCGGAGATCCTACAGGGCCAACTCTTCGCCTCCGGCCTTCTGCATTCTCCGAGCCCGGCCGCCGCCGCCGCCGCGGCTGCTGCAGCCGCCCTATCCGCCCATCAGAAACTCTTCCTGCTGGAAAATGCCAAGTTGGCCGCTTTGGCCCCGCCGGAGAAGTTCCCCAACCCCCAGTACCCCCATAAAGAGCGCCTCCCGGGCCAGCTAGACCAGGTGATGAAGGAGAACTCCAGCCTGGCCGTCGAGAGGCCCAGCGGGAAAGCCCACCACGCCAAGCTGGGCGGGGGGTCAGGCGCAGGAAGCGGCGGAGGCGGCACCTCGGCCGACGGGAAGCCCAAAAACTTCACCTGCGAAGTGTGCGGCAAGGTACGGGGCGCTTTCCCCGGCTTTCCCGGGAAGACAGGGCCATCCTTAGGCTTCTTCCCCATCACTCCTTAGCATCCTAGGTGACCCACAATGTAGCTCCCTAATTATTACGCGGTTGTGCTGAGGACTGAATTGGGGGTGCGTGGGTGGGTCTCCGCGCTCGCCTCCTGTATTGATCTGCCAAGCCATCCTGTGCAAAACGGGGTTTCGAACTCACTCACACGCAAGCAAAGCAGGCTGCTCGTCCTGGCCCCCTTGCAATCTTCGGCGGGCCAGATAACTCATAGTTTAAGTCGCCTAAAACTGGCACCCAACAACTCCGCAACAACACGCTGTGGTTCCGTTTTGCAAAGGGTGAAAGAGGCGGCCCCGAGGTTAATGGGAAGAGAGAGCATGGTCCTGGGGGGGGGCATTAAAACGAAACAGCAGACCCAGCCTTTTTTAGCCCCCTTCGGGCTGGCCGGCCGGTTTAGAAAGGCTAAACGTGGCGAGAGCTCCGTGCTTCGGCCTAAAAAAAGTTCCCTGCCTTGTCTTTCTTTGTAGGTGTTCAACGCCCATTATAACCTAACCCGGCACATGCCTGTTCACACCGGAGCCAGGCCCTTCGTGTGCAAAGTTTGTGGGAAAGGTTTCCGCCAGGCCAGCACGCTCTGTAGGCATAAAATCATCCACACGCAGGTACGCTGGGTCTTAAAAAGAGACGCCCGCCCGATCGGTGTGTATTTCTCTTTCCTTTAAAAAAAAAAAAAAAAAAAAAAAGCAAAGGGATGGGAAACTGAGTTTAAGCGCCACGCTTTTTTGGAGATGGTCTCTCCGAAGGCAAAAAAAAAAAAAAAAACACGCCACGAGTGATTTTAAAGAGCAGCCGCTAACTGTCCTTTCCACCAACAGGAAAAGCCCCACAAGTGTAATCAATGCGGGAAAGCCTTCAACAGGAGTTCCACGCTAAACACTCACATTAGGATCCACGCCGGCTACAAACCCTTCGTCTGTGAATTTTGTGGCAAAGGATTTCATCAAAAAGGTATTTGGATCAGGCCCACGTTCTGGACCTCTGTGCGTGCTATTCGTTTAAAGAGCTCCCGGGAAGGGTGGGAAAGAAAAAAAACATTAAGAATCCTTAAGATTCTGGTTTTTTTCCGAGAGGAAAGCCGCTTTGCCTCTGCGCCTTATATATTTTTTCTTTAAAAAAAAAATTCGTTTTTGGACAACGCCAAAGTTGCAAACGGGAGATCTGCGTGTGTTACGTGGGGAGAATAGAAGAAGGTTGGGGGGAAAAAAAGAATTTCCCACCGATTTTTTTTTAAGCGTGTGATCAAAATTTCGGCTTTCAAGTCGAGACGAAGGTCCTTAATATAGAACGCTGCGAACGTTCGGGATAGAATCTTGGGGTCTCCGGCGTTCCAAAATGTAGCGGCGGAATTGAGCGGACTTTGAGGTTATTAGAAGGTGACCCCCCCCTCCCCTCGAACGTCCCGGGGGTGGGAGGAAGGAGGGGAGCTGCCACGAAAGACTAGTTCAGTCCTGTCACTTGTCATTAAAACTGGGAAAATAAATTGAGTCCTCTTTAGGGCACGATCCCGCCAGGATGAAAGCACTCCGAAAGATTAATAACTCCTTTGAATGTCAGTGGGAAAGTAAAAGCCCAGGTTTCCGCGCACCAGAGTTAAAGCAAGGAAAGGAGAAAGTGCCGGAATCTGGAGTGAAATCGTGTTCTTTGCCTGAAATTAAATCGGCAAAGACAGCCTTTTTTTCCCCCCGAAGGACGCTGCGGGAAAGAAGGTCGCCAGAGTCTTTGGGTACTTTTTGTTTTTCTTTCGAGGTTCCCAAACTCTCTTAAACGAGAAGAGTTTTGGGGGGAAAATAAAACTTCCCAAAGAGCACAGGACGGTTTCTCCCTGACTTTGCTAGGAATTCTTCTGCCTTTCAGCCACACAATTTTGTTAAGTTTGAGGTGTCGCGTCCCGGTCCTCCCTTTTCTCCTCCCCCCCCCCCCCGGCCGATCCCCATCCAGGTTCTCCCATTTGCTCCGGGTCAGGACGCTGACCCGGGCTCTAATTTTTTAATTCGTTAGTGGCATCGCGGCGTGGCCTTGACAAAGATGGAGTTTGACAACTTCTTGACTGTCCCTTGCAGGACACTTTCTAATGAAGCCCCTGCAAAAGAGGCCGTAGCCTACAAGGCCGGGGAAACCTGCCCAAGAAAGCGGGGCGGGTGGGAGTGGGTGGGTGGGTGGAAGCTGCTGCTGCTGCTGCCGCCGGCATCAGACGCCGGGCCCCGCAGCAGGTCCCTTCCGTCAACAGAGCCACGGACATTTCTGAGATAACTTGGGGGAGGAGGGGGGGTTGAACTTGGCTCGTTTGAACTTGGGCTTTTGCTGGTTCGCTTTGTAGTGCGGCGGAGTTCCTTGGTTTCAGGGTCTTGCGCTAAAACCCAGCCAACTCAAGAACCAAATCAAACATCTTCCTCTTAGGAATTGCCCGCCTTTGCAATCTTCGACTCTCCTTTGCTGACCCTCCCTTCTCCCTCTCTCCCTTTCCTCACCCACTCTCTCCATCTCTCCCTTTCTCCCTCTTTCTCTTTCCCTCTCTTTCTCCCTCTCCCTCTCCCTCTCTTTCTCCCTCTCCCTCTCCCTCTCTCTTTCTCCTTCTCTCTCTCCCTTTCTCCCTCTCTCTTTCCCCCTCTCTCTTTCCCTCTCTTTCCCCCTCTCTCTTTCCCTCTCTTTCTCTCTCTCTCTCCCTTTCTCCCTCTCTCTCTTTCCCTCTCTTTCTCCCTCTCCTTCTCTCTCTCTTTCTCCCTCTCTCTCTTTCCCTCTCTCTCTCTTTCTCCCTCCCTCTCTCTCCCTCCCTCCCTCTCTCTTTCTCCCTCTCCCCCTCTCCCTTTCTCCCTCTCTCTATTTCCCTCTCTCCCTCTCCCTCTTTCTCCCTCCCTCTCTCTCTCTTTCTCCCTCTCTTTCTCCCTCACCCTCTCTCCCTCTTTGCTTCCCCCGGCAGGGAACTACAAAAACCACAAGCTGACCCACAGCGGCGAGAAGCAGTACAAGTGCAGCGTCTGCAGCAAAGCCTTCCACCAGATCTACAACCTAACCTTCCACATGCACACGCACAACGACAAGAAGCCATTCACGTGCCTCACCTGCGGCAAAGGCTTCTGCCGGAACTTTGATTTAAAGAAACACGTGCGGAAGCTGCACGACCCGGCCGCCGCCGCCGCCACTGCGGCCGCCGCCGCTGCCGCCGTGCCTTCCTCCAAAGAGCTCTCCAGGACCGGACCAAGCTAAAAGTGCCCGAGCGCAGCACCCGCGCACGGCAAAGGCCGACGGAGCGGAGGTCTTGTTCCTCCACCCAAGACTTGGAGCGACCGTAAAGGCCAGAAACAAAGCCCGAGAGAAGGACCGGGGTTTTTGGTACGCGTGTCAAAATAAAAAAAAAAAAAAAAAAAAGGATGCAAACATAAATGCAGACATATATGTATATATGTAAGTATATACATATCCTTGCGAGAGGGAAGGAAGGGGAAAAAAAAAACAATTTAATACTCTGTTGCTGCTACGGATTCCAGGAGTGTTTCCAGGATTGTAAAGACAAAATACACCGGCCGATCAAATATGTATATAGAGGACTGTAAATTTAAATTTTAATGTCCACTCGATTAATTAAGGAATATATCATCTTCCAGGCAATAAAAATCGCTTAATGTGAGTCGTATTTCCAGGTCCCCTCCTAGAGTTACGGTTTATTTTTTTTAAAGAAGAAATAATACAATTTATTATTTATTAGTAATTGGTCCAATTTATTAGTAGCAATGGTGGTAAGTAGTGGACGCCAGAGTTGAACCCTTAGCGACGTAGATTCTCTTCTGTTAGTTGTAATAGCAGAAGAATCCGAAGCCTACCGCTCCCCACCCCCACCCCCAAGGCCTAGAAAAGAAAAATCTTCCCTTTTGTGTGTTCGGGCCTTTCTCCTCCCCGCATCCCCTCCCTTTTCAGTAGAAGTTGTTGTCCCAAGAAGTGCCTCAGCTGAACAGGAGTGGAGTTTCCGAAGCGGTTCGCGTGTAAAGCCAGAGCGATTCGGAGCAAAAGGTTAAAAAGAGGAGCGACCGGCCCAGGCCGGCCCAGGGTGGGTTTCCCAGCAGAGGGTGGGACTAGGAGAAGCTTCCTCGCTCCCCATCTCCATCGGGGTCTTTGGAGGAGGAGGGGGGCGCTTCTTCCAGCCCTTGCTCCAATGATCCCCCACCCCCACACTTCCCGGCTGTTCTATTGTGAATGGGCAGCTTTCGGATCGCATCTTAAAAGAAGCCGAATTAAGGGGGGGGGATTGGTGAACCGAGAGGGAGAGAGGCTGGCGAGAAATGAGGAACGAAAGGACCGCTTTGCTCTCGCCTCTCAAAAGCTCCTGGTTGGGCCGGGCCTCTCTCCTTGCCTCGGGCAGCACCAGCGCGTAGTAGCCAGGGCAGGGCAGGGCTGGGGGTGCGGGTATCCTAACGGCGGCCAGCCCACACACTCCCCCTTCTTCTCCGCCCCCCACCCCCCGCTAGCGATTCCGATAAACCAACCTTTTGGCATGGGGAGGCACGTTGGGGGGGGGAGAGAGAGAGAGAGAAGGAAGGAAGGAAGAGAGAGAGAGAAGGAAGAAAGAAAGAAAGAAAGAGAGAGAGAGAAGGAAGGAAGAGAGAGAGGAAGAAAGAAAGAGAGAAAGAGAAAGGAGGAAGAATGAAGGAAGGAAGAAAGAGAGAGAGAGAAAGAAGGAAGGAAGAGAGAGAGAAGGAAGGAAGAAAGAAAGAAAAAGAAAGAAAGAAAAATGAAAGAAAGAGAGATAAATTTCGCAGTCCCTCCAGCCTTGTCTTATTCCCTTTCTTAGCGTGAATGGCCCGATTGAATCACACATTTATTTGTTCCAGTGACAGAGGAAGTCAAACATTCTGGCTTCCAGCAGATCACCGACGGCAACCTGCGAAGGCAAAATTGGGGCTCTCCTTCCTTCCCTCCCTCCCTCCCTCTCCTCCCACCCCCCCAGGCGTCTGCCACCAACACCCACCACTACTTCCTTCCTGGGTGAGTGGGTAGGTGGGTGGGTTGCGGGGAGGACTGTGTTTTTGTTTTTATTTTTCTCGTCGCCGGGTTAGAAAAGAAACAGCTTCTCAGCTCGGATGGCATTTTTCCATCCGTGGTTGGGGAGGGAAGAGACCCGGAGTGTGGTGGGGGGGGGAGAGAGGGAGAGGGAGAGAGAGAGAGAGAGAGAGAGAGAGGGAGGGAGGGAGGGAGGAGGAAGCAATGGGAGACGATTATTCTTTAAAGTGGATATTCATCTCGAAATTAGAAGTTATATAATATGCCACCTTCTGGTCTCCCTCAATTAACAACTTCTTTTGTTTCCCCCCCCCCTCTTCCCCAAAAAGCGATTTCCCCGAATGTGGTGATGGTTGTGATCATCATCATCATCATCATTATCCTCGCTTGCCGTCCTTCTTCTAATCCCCCGGACGCCAAGGAAACGATCTCATGCTTGCTTTCCGAGTAATGACCCAAATTAAGAGGGGAAACACAGACCCTCCAAACCTATTACATTAATCATGTAATCATCCGCAGCAGGCTCCAGAAATGTTCATTATTAAAATAAATAAATAAATAAATAAATCAAGGGGTTGGATTAAGGGAAGAAGGATGATGCTTGGCCGCTTTCTGGTCCTCCTAATGCGCCGATGTTTATTCCGCCCACAAGATCAGGCAGCGGCGCCCACGCAGTTCCCGTCGCTCCTGCCCAGAGGCCAAGGAAAGCGGGAATGAATGAACCGGACACCTTGGTGTCTGGAGACAACGTCCTCGGGACTCTTCGGCTTCCCTCGGCTTTAATGGAGTGGTTCAATGCCGAGAAGCGAACCAACCGAGGCCGTTTTCGCTCCGGCTCCTTCCTTCGGCGGCTCTGTGTAAAGTCACAACATTTTAAGTTTCTGCAAGTCTCTTCAGCTGCCCGGCCTCTGGGTGCAAAACTAGCCAGACAGACCAAGTTAGCACAACTGAAAAAGGAACGCGGAGGACGGACAAAGCCCCAAAGAAAATCACATCCAACCTTAGTTTTAAAAAAAAAAGTTTGATTAGAGAGAAAGGAAAACCCACCGATTTTGAACGAAAATGCTCACCCGGGTCATAATGTGGAAGTATCTCTGCCTATCTTCATCTCCCTCTCCTCCTTCCTTTTCCAGGCCTTTGATTTATGTTCTCGATTTCGAGATAATAATAATAATAAAGAAAAAGCACCACCAGGCAAAGCCTCACGTCCTGCAACATTGTTTTCTCCTCCTGCTCTTACTTAACTATTGCTCTTTTACAACGGCTTGGAGTTCCCACCAATACCTCCTTTCCGCCATGAAATCTTCCCAGCGGCCTCTTCCTGCCTTCATTTCTCACTCATTTCTCATGTAGTTGTGGTTGTTTTGTTGTTAGTTGCGAAGTTGTGTCCGCGACCCCATGGACAATGTTCCTCCAGGCCTTCCTGTCCTCTACCATCCTCTGGAATCCGTTTAACTGAATCACTGCTTCAGTGATTCTCATGTATTGGCGCTACCATCATTTACAGGCAATCCAAATTTTCAGAACTTTCCCCCCCAGCTCTTCAGTGCCACCAGACAATGAAGTAAATCATTGCTTCTTCCAAATTCTTCCTGGTTCCTTCCCACCCCCACCCCACCGGTGATGAAAGGAAGAGCCATCTCTACTGTTTGTTTGCTAGTTAGGTATATATTCCAGCTATGTAAACTGCTTTGTACGCAGTGCAACTTTCCGAGTTTTATTTACAATGGTAGGGATGATCTTTTGCACGCTTCTACGGGGATGTGCATTGATGTTGCCCTGAATCAAATATCCAAGTAGATGTCAATAGTTCCAGTTTAGGGATGGATGGATGGATGGATAATTTGCTCATTTTGATGGTTTGCATAATAGTAGATGGCTGATCAGTATTCAGTCTGGTCAAGAAAGCAAAATGACCAGATTTCCCTCCTCAAACATTTGCTTTTGCATGCTCTTCTCCGGAGAGGCAAGAAAATCTAGCAGAGAGTCGCTTGATAAGGAAATGGGTGGCCTATAAATTTAATGAGTAAATAAATTTGAAGTTAGAATACGTAAATAACACTTGAAACTCGATTTGCTGTTTTGAGGGTGTTCCTTGTTCTCAGGCGCCTTTAAATGTTGATTGCATACATTCCATAATATATATTCCATATTTTATGTGATCTTGCTAGAAAATGGGTTTGATGTAGCAATGGGCAACCGAGCTCTGAATGTATAGAAAAAAATAATAATGGCAACAATGACAGATTAAGGGTAGAACAGAAAAATCAGCAGGACTCTCCATCTTGAAAATGTTGAAGAGTGGCCGATTTGGAGCTAAATGGCATGGTTAAAATCCAGTAATAACCCAAAGAAAAATATGTACCAGGATATAGTGGGCATCCCAGTCTGATTCATAAGGTTCCATTGCTTTGCTTCTGGGATGCTATCTTTGCCTCTGGCTCCACTTGATGGACCTCACCATTCTATCCATCAAAAACGTGGAGTCCATCTTTCAGAAAGCTACAAGATGTCCTTTTTTTCCTCCAGATGTTTGCCCTGTTCTTCAATGATCAGTTTTTGAAAAGGCAGTTCAAGATAGTTTGGGGCAGCATATAATGATGGTATTCCTTACCTGGTCAACTATTCTACATCTGTTTCTTGATCAAGTGGTCAATGGGGATACATTTGAGAGATACTTTAAGAATCTATGATGCCATGGGCTGCAGTCAAATAAAACAGACTGCCACAAGAAGCAGGGCAGAAAGACAAAACATTAGGCACAATGCATCACATACTTCTTAATGATAATATTTAGAAGAGAGGAGAGGAGAGGAGAGGAGAGGAGAGGAGAGGAGAGGAGAGGAGAGGAGAAGAGAAGAGAAGAGAAGAGAAGAGAAGAGAAGAGAAGAGAAGAGAAGAGAAGAGAAGAGAAGAGAAGAGAAGAGAAGAGAAGAGAAGAGAAGAGAAGAGAAGAGAAGAATTTTTTATTGGCCAAGTGTGATTGGACACACAAGGAATTTATCTTTGGTGCATATGCTTTCAGTGTACATAAAAAGACAAGATACATTCGTCAAGAATCATAAGGTACAACACTTAATGATAGTCATAGGGTACAAATTAGCAATCGGGAAACAATCAATATCAATATAAATCGAAAGGATACAAGCAACAAAGTTACAGTCATGTAGTCATAAGTGGGAGGAGATGGGTGATAGGAACGATGAGAAGACTAATAGTACTAGTAATGCAGACTTAGTGAATAGTTTGACAGTGTTGAGGGAATTAGTTGTTAAGCAGAGTGATGGCGTTCAGGGGGAAAAAACTGTTCTTGTGCCGAGTTGTCTTGGTGTGCAGACTCATTCCTTCCATGGGTTCAAATCTCTGGTATTCCCTTGTTACCCTACCTGCCCTTCAAGTAAATGAGAAAAAGGACTTACTTTTGTTTCCCAAAAGAAAAGAAAAAAAACCCCACTAAAGTTTTATTTGATAGATTATGCTTTTGGAATTGTGTTGAAGGATATAGCCACCCAAAATATTGGTTTTATTAGCTCTCTTGCTATTATGAATATATTTACTCTCAAGTAAGTTGTATTTGATTTAATGGGACTTGTTCTTTCTCAGTGTACAGAGAGCTCTTCTCCAACTGTTCCTTACAGC